TTGGTTGTATAGGGAGAGGCATTAGCAGTAGAAAGAGGGAAGTGCTCATGCCATTGTACAGAACACTGGTGAGACCTCACTTGGACTATTGTACACAGTACTGGAGACCGTATCTTCAGAAGGATATTGATACCTTAGAGAGGGTTCAGAGAAGGGCTACTAAACTGGTTCATGGATTGCGGGATAAAACTTACCAGAAAGGTTAAAGGATCTTAACATGTATAGCTTGGAGGAAAGACGAGACAGGGGGGATATGATAGAAACATTTAAATATATAAAGGAATCAACACAGTAAAGGAGGAGACTATATTTAAAAGAAGAAAAACTACCACAACAAGAGGACATAGTCTTAAATTAGAGGGACAAAGGTTTAAAAATAATATCAGAAGTATTACTTTACTGAGAGGGTAGTGGATGCATGGAATAGCCTTCCAGCTGAAGTGGTAGAGGTTAACACAGTAAAGGAGTTTAAGCATGCGTGGGATAGGCATAAGGCCATCCTAACTATAAGATAAGGCTAGGGACTAATGAAAGTTTTTAGAAAATTGGGCAGACTAGATGGGCCGAATGGTTCTTATCTGCCGTCACATTCTATGTTTCTATGTTTCTATGTTTCTAGTGTGAAGTGGTCAGCGTCTTGACAGTCTCAAACGGATGACATGTAGAGAGACATAGAAATCCACATAGTGCAATATGTATTGATACCTTGAAAATAGTAAATGAGTATATAAAGTAGCGTACTCACATGTACTAGAGCGTGACTCGCTCTAGTTAATATGGCGTAGGTGGTTTAATCCCCACCAAAGGATGTGTTTGTAACCAGGAAATTAAAAAATGGTATCTCAGAGTGATAAAAAGTAATATACTATTTATTATGCATTAAAAATAGTGATGTCCCGAATTGTTCGCCTCGAACTGTTCGCCACGAACGGTTCGCCACGGACTCATCATTGAGTAAACTTTGACCCTGTACCTCACAGTTAGCAGACACATTCCAGCCAATCAGCAGCAGACCCTCCCTCCCAGACCCTCCCACCTCCTGGACAGCTCACTAAGAATGCAGCTTCACTTATGGATGCTGTCCAGGATGTGGGAGGGTCTGGGAGGGAGGGTCTGCTGCTGATTGGCTGGAATGTGTCTGCTGACTGTGAGGTACAGGGTCAAAGTTTACTCAATGATGAGTCCGCAGTGAACCGTTCGCCGGCGAACCGTTCGGGGGAACAGTTCGGGACATCACTAATTAAAAACAATAAAAAACAAAATACTCTGGAGAAAAGTCCATTAAAAAGTCCACTTAACGCGTTTCACCTGTAAAAGGCTTCTTCAGAAGTGTGGGAACGTCCAAGTATATAGGGGATTGATTGAAGATAATAGGCTTCATATGTGGGATGTAAATCACTTCCTTTTTCCTGGTATCAATGCTGGCACGCACGCGTCATACCGGAAGTGACGCGGCGTTATGTTAACCAATAATATGATAGAGTTCACTCACCACGAGGACCACCAGGGAACACCGTCTCCCAGTCCCAGGGACCAGCGTGCCGGTCCCCCCCTCCCAGGCTAAAGGTAAGAAGGGAGGGGGGACATAATGCCTGTTATTTTATTTGTTCATTTACCCCCCTTACACACACACAATCCATTCTAACATTTATACAGCACTGTCACACACAGCACTCTCACACCCATCACATACAGCACTCTCACACCCATCGCACACAGCACTCTCACACCCATCACACACAGCACTCACACACAGCACTCTCACACACATCACACACAGCACTCTCACACACAGCACTCTCACACCCATCACACACAGCACTCTCACAGCACTCACACACCCATCACACACAGCACTCACACACATCACACACAGCACTCTCACACACAGCACTCTCACACACAGCACTCTCACACATAGCACTCTCACACACAGCACTCACACACAGCATTCTCACACACAGCACTCACACACAGCACTCTCACACCCATCACACACAGCATTCTCACACACAGCATTCTCACACACAGCACTCTCACACACAGCACTCTCACACACATCACACACAGCACCCTCACACACAGCATTCTCACACACAGCAATCTCACACACAGCACATTCAGCACTCTCACACACATCATAGACAGCACTCTCACACACAGCACATTCAGCACTCTCGCACTCTCTCACACAGCACTCTCACACACAGCACTATCACACACAGCACTCTCACACACATCACACCCCGCGCCCTCATACACCACACCCTCACACACACACACATACTGCACCCCTCACATACACACAGAACCCCCCCAACACACTGCAAAACAGACATACACAATATGCACACACAGCACCCCTCACACACATACTGCACCCCTAAACACATTACATTCCAGACACACACTAGATCCCTTACCCAACTCTGGATCATCTACACACATACACACACTAGATCCCTATATACACTCTGAAACCGTTATAAACACACACTCACTAGATCTCCTATACACATTCTGGGTCCTTCAAACACACAATAGACGTATGTATTCATGTATGTATCACTCTTAACATACACACTAGATTCCTTGTAAGCAAACACATACTACACCCCTAAACACACAATACATCACCTATATATACACACACACACTATAGCCTGTATGCACACACAATACATCACCTATATATACACACACACACACACACTATAGCCTGTATGCACACACAATACATCACCTATATATACACACACACACTATAGCCTGTATGCACACACTTACTACATCCCCAATACACACATTCTCTACAGCCCCTAGCCACATATACATCACATTACACCACAAACACAACATGACTAAAACCAACCTTATTACACAATTCCACACCACAATCAGCTCACTCTACACACGCAATCCCACAAGCAGGCTCCAAACACATGCACAATACTCTTTCCTGGCATTTTTGTCTCCTGGTATCCATTTATAGAGACACCAGAGACAAGTTGCAAGGAAACACAGTGCAAGCATGTTATTCAGTTTGCTTGCACTGTGCAGAACAAATACATGGCTTTTTTCTCATGCTAGAGCTCTTCAGCAGAGCTCTGCGCATGGTCTGCCCTGGAAGAGCATTGAACCAACATGCTCACTTTGAGAGGGAGCGTGTTTGTCATTGGTGATGACAAAACACACCTCCTCTGCCCCGCCCCCTTCTTAGTGGGTCGCTGTGATAAAAAAATGCCCGGGCTGAATTTTTCTCCCAGTCCGGCCCTGCTATACAAATACAATAAATCTTCAAAAGCTTATTAATATTATATCTGTGTGGTACATAATGAGGTGTACACAAAGAGGGGGTGTGAGTTAGGTAATCTCGACCTCCATATGGAATATGCTTCCTCCTTGTTCACTTTTGGTCAAACTGTTGGTCTGTGATTGGCCCTCTTTGACCCCAACTGAATTTCTTTGGAAGATTCATGAGAAAGATACAGCAGCTTGTTTTGATATAAAGAAAGAGGGAGAAGTATGTTGTATTGGTCACAAAGGATTGTGATCTTAAGCAGGCGAGACAAGGACATTTGGGAGGTGATAGGAGATTGAATCAGAAAGGTTTTGGAGGCAGAGGTTGAGGATTTGATCAAAGGATCTAACTTTTGTAGAGGTGGTAACTTCAGCACTGTTTTAATTATGGATAGCAGGGGTTCACCTCAAGGTGCTCGTGGTGAACCCGGTTCTCCCAGTCAAGCTGGCCACACTGGCACTCCAGGTATTGCTGGGGAGCCTGGCTTCCCTGGTGCCTGTGGTGCTCCTGGACCTCAAGGCCCCGGAGGTTCCCCTGGACCTAAGGATAACAATGGTGAACCTGGTGCTCAAGGAAACAAAGGAGAACCCGGTGCTAAGGGAGAACCTGGCCCAGCTGGCATTCAAGGACCCACCCTGGCAGGTTCCTCAATACCAACCTATACTCACACCTAACAACCTCAGCCTAATACACAGATGGTTCATGTTTTTAATACTTTATATATAGATAAAACTGTATTAATGCTGACTCTTAGAGGATGTACAAGCTGAAGTTGGGACCTAGACATTGTTTGAATAGGCTGCGCAATGTGAAATAACTAAAATAAAATAGGATAATAATAAGTATGCTTAGTCAATTTGTAACGTGGTGTCATAGAGGCATCTGCAATAAAATAAGTGGGTTTCCAAGACCTGACAAGTGAGGGCAACTTAATATAACATATGTCTATAGTTTGCTGCCCCTTCCTTGTCAGGAGCCACTTGGGACCTTAACACAGCAAGACAACTCTTCCGAAACCTGTATTAAACAAAGCACTTTGGAACAATAGTAATTCATTTTGTTTCTCCTATTTCATTCCTAGTTGTTCTGAAAAAAAAAATATTGTTTAAGTGGGATAACTATATGGAGGTTCCACCATGTATTAAAACATGATCACACACATACAGAACTGGTGGCTTTTTGGACATCAGGATCTATAAAAAAAAGGTTTAGGTTTCCAAAGATGTTATCAGGGTCCACAAAATTTCTGACAGACTTCAGCATTCCAATTTTATTAAAGTAATTAATTGAGATTATCAAATCAAGGTTTAAGTTTAAGAACAGCATTTTATTGGGAATTATACCAATATGTATTTGTTAGTGTTTTAGTACTCAACAAGCATTTATATAGAATGAGTGCTTCTCTCATCCATACTAAAGGGAACTTATGTATTAAAATTTTATAAAGGACAAATTCAATTAATTATAAACAAAACTGAGAGAAGTACATGTTACACTAGTTTACAAGAGTTTAACTTTAGTCTCCTATTTGAGTTTAGCCTAGATAATTAATTTATTGATGTCGTACTGATCCTTGTGTTTGTATGATTATAGAGACCGTACTGGAGTATTTGTGCCGCCTGATATTTGGGACTACACACCAATCTCTCTGGCTGACCTACCTGCCTACCTACTTTTTTTACAATTAAATCTGTTTGGTCAAAATCCATGCTGGCCGAAGTAACTGAGATGCTTACTTATGAGGACTAGTAAACTAACCTGGAAAGTCCTGAAGGTGCAGTGCTGTCTAATGCCGCTATGTCTGTATTACCCTTTCAACAATTGGTGTGTTGCACAGAGTATTGTGGTGAACATCCAGCAAACAGAAGAATTAAGAACTATGTGGAAGCTGACATTGTCTTGTTGTCAGCCATATTGCTAACTTTAGCTATGTTATGGTGTCTAAGATTATGGAACAAAGTTTATGGTGTCTAAGATTCTTTATACTCCTTGAAAGACTTATTCTATTTTTCTGGACTATGCTGGACTATTGAACTATTTTGTTATTTTTATTTTTGTAGAGTTAGCCGGAGAGAGAGGAAGTGTTAGCTTACCCAGGGATGGATGTACTATGTGTGTCATTGATGTATGTTGAGTGTACCAAGGATGGATTCCCATGTATTTAGTGTGCATATGACTGGACCATCGAAATAGAGATGTGATTAGGAGGCAAAGGACGCAAGGTCATGATTGGGATTATTGTTAGAATTGCAAACTGATTAGAAATTATCTCATTTAATATGTAAGTGGGCCTGTTCAAACTAATCAAGAAGTGTTTCCAAATCCCGATACCCGAGCTATTTACTTACAAGTGCGGATTTTTATAAGTCACTGTAGCGGACTGAACCCTACACCAGAGTCTGCCCCAGTTTCCTGGGACCCTTTAAAGAACTGCATTTGGACATATTGTATTTTATTGTACTGTGCTGACCTTTTAACAACAGTGAAGGGAAATACTGAAACTTTTTGGACACTTCCTCTTCCCCTCCCCCGGATCCATTGTTCTCCAGCAGGGTGTTGTCCCAGGGACACTGCCAGACTCTTGTGAAACTGGTTTGGGCCAGAAAGCCATGCTTGCAAGTGAAAACAAAGGACTTCGACCTAACCATTAAACCCCTGAACCTATTCAAGTGAATTTTGGATATGTTTGTCCCCAAGTTATACTGGTTAAAATAATATAAGTTTTATGTATGTACGATGTTAACTCACAAAGTTATAAAAATGTACAAAAAGTAACTTTTCAGCTTGGAGATAATTGAGTAGATACAGTAATTGACTCAATTATCTCCTAAGCAGAGGGGAGGAATATGTTGGGTGTGTTTCTATTGTCCCATTGTGTCTGATTGGCTGCTGTACTTGCATTGTATGTGTTGTAATGTGTTTATTGGTTGTTCTGCAAAACCCTGTGGGCAGTACTATGTTTTGTGGATTGTGAATAAAAGAGGCTGTATGTGCCAGCACAAGAGTTCCTGTTTTAACCCTCAAAGTGAAGTGTTGTCTCATTATTGGGGGAAGGATTTATTGTATGCTGTTCCAGTTTAACTGCTAGGAGAGTAAACCTATTCGTATGGTTCCTGTTCAACTGTCTACAGCATTCATATGCTTGGGAGAATTTATTTGTTTCTCCGGTTCGGTGATTGTGGTGTCTGCCAGAGTGCTTGGAGTCCTCAGGAAGCGCTAGGAGCATCCTTCAACAGAGGTACCCAGTCGGGGTGCCAGGTGATCCGTTACATTGGTGGTAAGCGGTGGGATGGCGTCCTAGTGCGAGGTAAAGCAGCTCAGAGACACAGTTCATTTGGAGTTACAATTTGAGGGCAACGCTAGTATTCAAACAGCGCCCCTGGTCACAGCAAACATGACCTATCGCTTTGAGGGTGACGCGTACAGGGACGAGGTCATGAGACGGTTAACCAGATATGGCCCGAATCCTTCAACAGAGGCAGTTATGGCAACCGTGCGCAAGTTGGATGCGGAGAATCGAGCGGCATGGGAATGTGAGTGCCGATTGCAGAGATTGGGCCTGTGGCCAATTGGTCTCTCTGCCCAGCGGCAGTGTGTGTTGCAGGCAGCTGAAGGTGCCGTCCTTCCTCCCCAGCGACAGAGTGTGTTACAGGGAGCTGAAGGTGCCATCCTTCATCCCCAGCAGCAGGACAATATATTGAAAGGGGAGACAGTTGGTCCCCCTCTTCTCCAGCAGACGAGTATGGAAGGCTCTGGAGATAATTGGCTGGCCGAAGTAAGGCAGCGAGTGGCCCAGTATGGGGATGATGTACCCATGGAGACACGCCGGGTGATCTGGAACCAGGTCATGGCCGAGCGAAACACAAGGCTGGGCCGAGAATTCCAGCTGGCGAAAAAGAGAGTGTGTCAGGGAGAGGAGCCTGTGACCCTCTCTCCCCAGCGGCTGAAAGTGTGTAAGGGAGAGGAGTTTGTTAACCCCTCTCTCCAGCGGCAGCATAGCCCACCGAGGGGAGACACTAAGCCCCAAAACAGCGCAGATGGGACCGTTGTCTCTGCACCCAAGCTACAGGGAGTTCAGAGGGTCAGCTCTGCTCCCCAGCGGCTGGAAGTGTGTAAAGGAGAGGAGTTTGTTACCCCCTCTCTCCAGCGGCAGCGTAGCCCACCAAGGGGAGACACTAAGCCCCATAACAGCGCAGATGGGACCGTCGTCTCTGCGCCCAAGCTACAGGGAGTTCGGAGGGTCAGCCCTGCTCCCCAGCGGCTGGAAGTGTGTAAGGGAGAGGAGTTTGTTACCCCCTCTCCCCAGCGGCAGCCTAGCCCACCAAGGGGAGACACTAAGCCCCTCATCAGCGCAGATGGGACCGTGGTCTCTGCGCCCAAGCTACAGGGAGTATGGAGGGTCAGCCCTGCTCCCCAGCATCTGGAAGTGTGTAAGGGAGAGGAGTTTGTTACCCCCTCTCCCCAGCGGCAGCATAAACCACCAAGGGGAGACACTAAGCCCCTCACCAGCGCAGATGGGACCGTGGTCTCTGCGCCCAGGATACAGAGAGTACAGCCGGTCAGCCCTGCTCCCCAGCGGCTGGAAGTGTGTAAGGGTTTGTTACCCCCTCTCCCCAGCGTGTAAGGGTGTAAGGGTTTGTTACCCCCTCTCCCCAGCGGCAGCCTAGCCCACCAAGGGGAGACACTAAGCCCCTCATCAGCGCAGATGGGACCGTGGTCTCTGCGCCCAAGCTACAGGGAGTATGGAGGGTCAGCCCTGCTCCCCAGCATCTGGAAGTGTGTAAGGGAGAGGAGTTTGTTACCCCCTCTCCCCAGCGGCAGCATAAACCACCAAGGGGAGACACTAAGCCCCTCACCAGCGCAGATGGGACCGTGGTCTCTGCGCCCAGGATACAGAGAGTACAGCTGGTCAGCCCTGCTCCCCAGCGGCTGGAAGTGTGTAAGGGAGAGGAGTTTGTTACCCCCCCTCCCCAGCGGCAGCCTAGCCCACCAAGGGGAGACACTAATCCCTTCATCAGCGCAGATGGAACTGTGGTCTCTGCGCCCAAGCTACAGGGAGTACGGATGGTCAGCCCGGCTCCCCAGCAGCTGGAAGCATGTAAGGGAGAGGAGTTTGTTACCCCCTCTCCCCAGCGGCAGCCTGGCCCACCAAGGGGAGACACTAATCCCTTCATCAGCGCAGATGGAACTGTGGTCTCTGCGCCCAAGCTACAGGGAGTACGGATGGTCAGCCCGGCTCCCCAGCAGCTGGAAGCATGTAAGGGAGAGGAGTTTGTTACCCCCTCTCCCCAGCGGCAGCCTGGCCCACCAAGGGGAGACAGTAAACCCCACAACAGTGCAGATGGGACCGTAGTCTCTGCACCTGCACCACTGGAGATATGGACAGTCTGTCCTGGTCTCCAACAACAGGGCAATGTATTGGAAGAGGAGGCAGTGTGTTTTCCCCTACTACAAGAAAGGACATCGCAGGGAGAGGAGCCAGTTACCCCTTCTCCCCAGCAACCGCTTTGTCCAACCAGGAGAGAGAGCACCCTGGTTACTTTTCCACCAGACTATAGATTTCCAACTGGGCACATGTGGCAGGAGAACACTGGGACAGCTACAAAGGGTGAGAAAGGCCGACCGACTATCAGAGCCCCAGACCGATTGAAGGTCTGGAGTCTGGATAGTCTCTTTGGTAAAGGGGAGAAATGTAGCGGACTGAACCCTACACCAGAGTCTGCCCCAGTTTCCTGGAGGGGACTGCCTGCTCGCCTCCTGCCCAGTGATTATGGTCCCGGGAAGATGGGACCCTTTAAAGAACTGCATTTGGACATATTGTACTTTATTGTACTGTGCTGGCCTTTTAACAACAGTGAAGGGAAATACTGAAACTTTTTGGACACTTCCTTTTCCCCTCCCCCGGATCCATTGTTCTCCAGCAGGGTGTTGTCCCAGGGACACTGCCAGACTCTTGTGAAACTGGTTTGGGCCAGAAAGCCATGCTTGCAAGTGAAAACAAAGGACTTCGACCTAACCATTAAACCCCTGAACCTATTCAAGTGAATTTTGGATATGTTTGTCCCCAAGTTATACTGGTTAAAATATTATAAGTTTTATGTATGTACGATGTTAACTCACAAAGTTATAAAAATGTACAAAAAGTAACTTTTCAGCTTGGAGATAATTGAGTAGATACAGTAATTGACTCAATTATCTCCTAAGCAGAGGGGAGGAATATGTTGGGTGTGTTTCTATTGTCCCATTGTGTCTGATTGGCTGCTGTACTTGCATTGTATGTGTTGTAATGTGTTTATTGGTTGTTCTGCAAAACCCTGTGGGCAGTACTATGTTTTGTGGATTGTGAATAAAAGAGGCTGTATGTGCCAGCACAAGAGTTCCTGTTTTAACCCTCAAAGTGAAGTGTCGTCTCATTATTGGGGGAAGGATTTATTGTATGCTGTTCCAGTTTGACTGCTAGGAGAGTAAACCTATTCGTATTGTTTCCTATTCAACTGTCTACAGCATTCATATGCTTGGGAGAATTTATTTGTTTCTCCGGTTCGGTGATTGTGGTGTCTGCCAGAGTGCTTGGAGTCCTCAGGAAGCGCTAGGAGCATCCTTCAACGGGGGTACCCAGTCGGGGTGCCAGGCGATCCATTACAGTCACTAATGCTGTCAACGTGAGGGGATGACATGTCTATACAGTCATGGCCCTCACTCAGGGTTTTCCAGATGTGCTTTTTTCCTCAAATATGAGTTTTTGCAACTGGGTTTTTAGACCTGGCCCAAGTTCACTGGGTGGACTGGTAATCCAAGACCCTGGTCCAAAGAGGGGGAATAGATATTATTCCCATTTTGACTATATGTGTTTACATTGTGAATTATAATAATAATATTCCCGTTGTTGGGAATAATACACTTTGCCTGTTTTGATCCAAGGCTCAAGTTACAGATAACATGATGTGCAGTCTGTTTAAAATTGGTTAACATGTCAGCTGTTTGAAATATTTAACTTGTACACTTAAAAGATGTATTCAACAGATAATTGAAAAAGCTGAAAATTGACAGCTCGAACTCCTCTTAAAGGGAAAACCTACGGCACAGAGCAAATGGGGAAAATCGAGATGAAGAAATAGTGAAAGTCCCGCAGACATGATTAGCACGTCTGAATATACCTCCTTTCGTTTCTCTGCCGCTGGCCTCCCATGGATATTTTCGTTAAGGTAGATCATGATATGATCTAAGAGGGGAATTGTAGATACGAATATCCATTTTGCTATCTATCCTAGCTAACCCATATAAGGGTTAATGTGAACCAAGAATAAATTTGAAATTGTATCTTCGATTCTGGGAAGAATTTATCTAATATCATTTACGAGAATGACCATACTGATTTCGAAATGACCTTGTTAATTGTCCAAGATTTTGGTATTTGTAAATATCTTGTTTTGATCAAATATACGTGCGTTATATAACGTAGAATTATAATAAGAAACAGCTGCTCATAACTTGTGAAAAACAATGTCATTGTCACGCCCATATGCTCATTTTTCCCCCTCCCATCCTGCTATGAAAACGGGGTATTAATATAACTGACGGATGAATAAAATTTGAATTGGTTATGGAACACGTCTCTGCTATTCATTTCCAATTTCCAGAGCTCTGAATGAGTTGGCAAATATCCATCATCCACAAAGGGCCCGGGCTGATTTTATACCCAACACATTGTAATGTAAAATTGTTTAGAAAAACCCAGTAAGAGCTGTGAGCTCTCTATCTCAGCTAAACCAGGTGCAGGATTTAGCTCACTGGCTGAAAGCGATCAGCCAATGTTCGAAGTCAAAGAGCTAGCCATGCACAGTTGGGATTAGCTCAGGAGCTTCTGGCTCTCACCTCCACCCAAGGACGTACCTAGAGCATATGGTGGGTCCTCGTTTTGGCACCCCTCGCCCCTGCACTTTAAAATGTCAAAAATACCCACAATTTTTTTAATATATGTAGCATTGAGCAGTGCTTGCATGTTGCAATGTAAGCATATTTTTGTTTGGAGTAAGTGTGAGTGAATGTAGGGGTGTGTTTGTATGTAGTATTGGCATTTTAATGCAGGCATGCATTTGTGTGTAGTGTTGACGAGATGCAGTGGTGTGGTTATATATAATGGTGGTGTTTTAATACAGAGGTGTATTTGTATGTAGTGTTTACACTGGAATGCAGATATGTGTTTGTGTGTAGTGTTGGCAAGATGCTGAGATGTATGCAGATATATACACACACTGACACACATGGCTGGCTGAGGCTGTTGGGAGTTGGGCTCTAGTTCTCTCCCAATCAGTGCCGCCCTCCACCCTGCGTGTCTCAGTGTTAGCTGGGAGAAAATGACTGAATTTCACTTCCCCCAGGGCTGCCATTACATTATTACAGAAGCCTGGTGCACAACTGGGCCCCTGAAGCAGTGGTGATTCTAGGAACAATATAAAGGGGAGGCACATAAACAGTGGGGGCTGGGAACATTAATAATTTTCACTAGGTAATGGGGTAATGTGCTGCCATTGGCTGTCTGACGACAGCATGTTGTGCATGCTGGCATCAGACAACACATTTGCATAGATTCACATTAGCCACCTAGATTTCTGGGATGGCTGACACCTCTTAACTTTGATCTTTGTTTAGCAGATAAACACATATCCTTATGTGGGATTGCCATATTTAAGGACACCAAATAAGGGAGCTATCTGCTAAACAGCACCCTAATTTGGTATCTTTACATATGGAATCTCATATAAGGGCACCAATTTAAGTAATTATATACTAAACAGCTAAAAGATCAAAATTTAAAAAGCCTTTTTCTTAATTTTAATCTTTAGGTTGTTTAGTAGATAACTCACTTATTTGTTATCCTTATGGGGGATTGACATATTTAAGGACACCAAATTAGGGAGCTATCTACTAAACACATACACAACCACAGATATACACACGCATTTAGTTATTAAGAGGTCCAACCAACCTCCCTACCTTACTCTGGGAGTGACTAGCGGCTGCTGCTGGGCTGGGATCTCTGTGCTCTAACTTCACAGCTCACTTGAATGACCAGTAGTGATGCCGATGCCAGGATGACGTCATACCCCGGCTGCCGGCTTACTGCGGGGCGTACACAAACTCCTATATGGTCCATAAAGAATGTTTAATCTCACTGCCTCCCAGTATATATCTGTCCTATCTGTCTGGGGGAATGTGACAACATGGAGGTATATGTAAGTGGGTGAGTATTACTAGCAGGAGAAAGGTATATGGCAGGGTGGGAAAGTGTGGTGGATACTATGACAGTGCGTGCCATTACACACAGTGGATTGTAGGAGGTGACTGCAGGTGAGGTGGTGAGTATATGGTGTTTTATGTCACGGGTGGGAACAATGGGATTGGGTGTTAAATGGAAGAAAGGATATTATGTCAAGGTGGGGGTGTATGGCAGGGTGTGTATTATGATAAGGTGGAGGTATATGGCAGGGAGGGTATTATGGCAGTGTGGGTATTATATAACATGTTAAAGGGGTATATACCAGGGTGGGAATTATGACCAGGTAGTGGGTTCATAGCAGGGAGGGTATTATGACAAGGGAGGGGTGTATAGGGGTGTTTAAAAAACAACTACTGGTCCAGGGACCAGAGTGTTTGCCCAATCTACTTGTCTGCCGTGACAATCTACTTGTCCTGATACAAATCTTTATTGATAGTAATTTAGGAGACAGACCTGGTGTAGGGAACATAGTGTGGGGTGATAGGGATGTAGTATGGGTAAGACAAATAGTGTGGGGTGGGATTGTGGAGGTGTGTGACTGGTGACATTGTGGGGCACTAGTGTGCTGTGGAATAGGGATGGCAGAGTGAGGCGGGGACAGGTGGCAGAGCGTAGGAGGGAGGGTCTGACAGAGCGTGGGAGGGAATGACAGGTGACTGAGATGGGTGACTGGTTACTGAAGGAGGGGGTGACAGAGTGACTGAGGGAGGGGGTGACTGGTGACTGAGGGAGAGGTGACTGGTGACAGAGTGACTGAGGGGGTGACTGAGGGAGGGGGTAACAGGGTTACTGAAGGAGGGGGTGACAGGTAACAGAGTGACTGGGGGAGTGACTGGGTGACTGAGGGAGGGGGTGACTGGGTGACTGAGGGAGGGGGTGACAGGGTGACTGAGGGAGGGGTGACTGGTGACAGAGGGAGGGGGTGATGGGTGACAGAGTTACAGAGGGAGGGGGTGACTGGTGACAGAGGGAGGGAGTTACAGGTGACTGGAGGGAAGGGGTGACAGGGGTGACTGGAGGGAGGGGTGACAGAGTGACTGGAGGGACTGAGGGAGGCACTGTGGGGGTGACTGGTGACAGAGGACGGGGTGACAGGGTGACTGAGGGAGGGGTGACTGTGACTGAGGGGGTGACAGGTGACTGGAGGGAGGGGTGACTGGTGACAGAGTGACTGAGGGGGGATGACTGGTGACAGAGTGACTGAGGGGGGGTGACAGGGTGACTGAGGGGGTTGACAGAGTGACTGAGGGGGGTAGACTGGTGACTGAGGGGTGTGACTGGTGACTGAGGGGGTGACAGGGTGACTGAGGGGGGTGACTGAGGGGGGTGGCAGGGTGACTGAGGGGGGTGACTGAGGAAGGAAGGAATCCCTCACCCCTTCTACCCTCAGTTACCTGGGATTCTGGACCATTCCTAAAATGTCAGCAGAGCTCAGACTCAGGGGTATCCCCTCTCCAGACACTGCCAGTAAGGCAGAACTATACAGGCTCACGACGGCTCAGGCCTACGTCCCCAGGCCCGGCTCTAGTTCACAAGGGCCACCAGCTTACTCCTCAGATTCCACTCAGGAGACCCCGGTCGCTTTCCCGGCCAGCCTCCAAACGACCAACAGGCTGGTAAATGGAATTGGCTATAGCCACACCACGTGTCTCGTTAAGCCCGGGCAGGCCCTCCCCTGGCGATCTCGGTCACACAGTCTGTCTTACCCCTCATTTCCCCTCCCCGTCCTCCACCACCCATTATCACTACTCCATACGTCTCACCGCCCACTCTATTCCAATTTCCATAGAGAAGGGAATTCTCGATGGAAATGACGTTAATCTAACATCACTACTCAACTTCCCAAGACATCCTACAGTACAAAGGTTATATTCATGGTGACATTTCAGTAGTCCTTAAAAGTGAGACCCACAACTTAACAAACTTTGTATTCCTCAGTTTGTCATTTCCTCTCGCATAGGGACAGCCACTTCCACTTTTCACCACTCCTTCATCCC